GCATAGGACACGTTCGATCTACAAATCACACGATTCTACTGCATCGCCTGCAATCGTTTTATAGCGCGTTCGTACAACGCATTAAGTTTATCGTTACATCGTGTAACCGTTTCTGCCAGCATTCGCGATATTAATTTAGTACGCGATACGCGACGAAAAATGCTCGACCAACGTCCATCCGTGACTTAACGTACCGATGAGGCTCATTATTAACCATTCGAAGAAAAAACTGGAGTGGATGCCTATTTGCGCCGTTTCACGCTAAATGCAACCTCTCCGGGAAAGTTGCTTGTATGCATGCAACGTCTGACCTGCTTGTAATAAACGGGAAAAACCTTTAATCGCTGAGTTTGGCCTGGTTTATCGAGCACAGCCAATGGGTTATGCTCGGTTACGGCGAAAAAATTCCAAATTCTCTTTTTTTTATGCGTCGGTTCATTGTCGAGAACAATTTTTTATCTCGAAGAACTGACCATATTTTTTTAAAAAAATTAATTGATCTCGATACTAAATGTCATGACAATTTCAACTGTTCATAAATATCCAAATGTCTTGTAAATGATTGAAGTTAGACAAAAATTTGTAAGACTTGATTATTTTCTTTCTATCCAACTTAGTAGATTCAGTTTTAATTTCTTTGTTAATTTATGTACAGAATATTTTTTACATATTTAGTTGATACAAGTAATTTTCGATCAAAGTTATATCTTGTTAAAAATTGCTATTATGATTTAGTAGACAGTATAATATTAGTTTGGGGAAAAAGAAATCCATTATTTTTCACCTAGATGGCTCTAGTGACGTACAGGGAGATTTTAGAAGCTAAAATAAGACGAAAATCAAGAGTACCAATTTGTTGATGGAGGCTTCGTTAAAAAGTTATTAACAATTAAATTCGAAAATTTCAAATCGTTCTGGAAAAATTATTTCCGGTTACAGAGATCAATTACAATCATTTTTGGTCATTACACATACCTCCGAAATCCTATCCACTTTCGAGAAAAAAATTCGACAAGGTGTGAAATTTTTCCATGGAAAAAAGAAATTTCAAATCTCACTAAAAAAAATTATTTTCGGTTGCAGGGGTCAATTACAATCATTTTTGGTGAATAGACATACCCCCGAAATCCTATCCACTTTCGAGAAAAAAATTCGAGAATGTGTGAAATTGTTCGATGGAAGAAAAATTTTTCAAATCGTTCTGGAAAAATTATATTCCGTTGCGAGGGTGAATTACAATCATTTTTGGTGAATAGACATACCCTCGAAATCCTATCCACTTTCGAGAAAAAAATTCGAGATTATGTGAAATTTTTCGATGGAAAAAAGAAATTTCAAATCGTTTTAAAAAAATTATTTTCGGTTGCAGGGGTCAATTACAATCATTTTTGGTGAATACACATATCCCCGAAATCTTGCGCATTTTCGAGAAAAAAAATCGAGAAGATGTGAAATTTTTTGATGGAAAAAAGAAATTTCAAATCGTTCTAAAAAAATCAACAAATTGGTATTCTTGATTTTCGACTTATTAATCGAACGGCAACAAATTATAAATCGAAACGGTACATATTTGAACATGAAAATAATGGATTTCTTTTTCCCCAACCTAATATTAGTAATATATTATCCTGTTCGCTATTTATTTTTTGAACATTTTTAACTACGTTTTTTAGAATAGAAATCTATATTTCTACAGGGGGAATAAACATCCTTTTAAAGTAAACTCTGATAAAAAATTGTTTTGCATAAAAGTCTAAAATGAGAATCTCCAAATAAAATAATATGTTTCTGTAGGAAAAAGGTAATTTTCAAAAACCTTAAACACGTCCAAGAAATAAAAAATATAATTGTACTTCCCCCCCCCTCCCAAAAAAAATTGGAAAAGTTTTGTGCATTAAAAGAGACATTTATTTTGTTTAATGAGTGATTAGTATTATTTTATACAAAGAGCAATATTACTGCATTTCGTTCGTGATATGCTACTATAGTTGAGCTCATCAATAGCGTTTGTACAGCAGATCCTGGCTTAGACGTGACCCTATTAATCTTTTGTTGAACAGTTTCGAACTACTCGATAGTTATACGGTATATAATTAGTTTGAATAGATTAATGTTATGAATCTCTCACGGTAAATTAATGTATGTTTAAACGTTTAATAGCGTCATGTCTAATGCAGGACTCCTTTACTAATGCTCATAAGCCTTATTGGTGTGTCCAACTGGAAAAGATCCACGAGGAAACGAAGCAATTCACAACTTTCAAATTTCCACGTATTCCCATTGAAATTTTTTATACTATTTATCTCATAATTCACTACTATTTTCTACGGATCTAAAAATTATTAATTTTCACTGAAATTGCAAACGAAAAATTCCTTTGCAACACCATTATATTCATCGCGATTAATAAAAACTATAACGATCATTTTTTTTTAAGATAATGAAAAGTACTGAAAAACTTAGTTAAGTATATGATTAGGATTATGATTCAGGTATTATTTTTTCGGAATATTGGGAAAATAACAATTTGAAAATTCCTACGAAAAATAATGGTACGTTAATATTGAATAAAAACAAAAATCACAAATATTAAAACAGTAATAACTAAATATATATTGAGTTATGTGTGTAAGTGGAGTTATTCAAAACTCCAACAAAGGGTTATGTTTCCTTACTTACGCTGCCTGGGCCCATAACCCTTTGTTGGGGTTTCGAATAACTCAACTTACACACATAACTCAATATATTTAGTTATTACACATAATGCAGATACATAATACAGATATATATATATAAGTAATAAGCATAAACAGAACAAACTCAAATAGGCATACGCCTAAGCGCGACTACATGGCGCATACTAAGGTGGCGCTGCGGTGGGACGAGCAAACCTCCTTCAAAAACTGATTATTTTTTTCTAGACAGAGAGATGGGTACAGGTTATAAATCACAACGAAAAATTCATTAATAAGCAACGATATTTCCTGTAAATAAAAAAATTATTTTCTAACCACACTTCTCGACCAATCTAATAAAATTGACCATTTTAAACACATTTTAAATAGCGATCGAAAAATGATTCTAAGTCTATCAGGCAAGGGTTAAATGAATCATAAATACCAGTAACTGGATATATCGTTGTTAGAAATGTAAAAGTTTTTTGCTCTTCTGTCAGCTCGGGGATTTTACGAATTTTCTGCAACGATCCTGTGAGTTCGGTGTGTGTGTGGTAAAAGAAAAAGAATTACACCTGTTTACGAATCGAAATTATGCACACTACGCACACAGCAAATAATATAATACATATAAATTGAGAAAAAAAACACTAGAGAATCTATTCACACACAACACACCGGACATAACCTTCTGTCCACTCATTTTTTAATCTTCTACTCGCGCCTCCAAATGTCGCTCTATCTGTTTTCTCTCTCTCTCTTTCTCACTCATTCTCACTTTGGTGATTATCGAGGTGGGATTGTCGAACGTGATTGGCCGTTGGAATTTCGGGAGAAGGAAGAGCGTACACGGAATATTTTCGCTAACTAAAAGGGGGCCAATTTCGGCGCTGAATCGCCAAGGGTGATGTTTTATACAATAATTCTATTGTCCCGAGAGTCAAAGGGCACTACGGTGCGTCGAAAATGCCGTTCACACTCGAGTGGTACTTTACGAACGCCTTAAACGCGGAACAATACAAAAGGGTTCTCCCAGTAGGAACGACCGTCTGCCGGTTTGGCTCGTCATTTGCTAGGAACAAAGCAATCCTTAATAAAGTTATGAAGTACAATACAGAGATCATGAATCTGTTTTAAAACCGGCCCCAAAATAAGACGAATAACAGACACTGTAATCAAAGTCGTCCATTAATTAGAGTTGACTTTGGCCATTGTACAGTTCCTCGTGAGAATTCTTTCTTTTGTACTTTTAATCATCAGCTACTAAATTGGAAAGAAAAATATACATTCAGGATTATCAAGAAATTAGAATTCTTTCAGTTATACTAACATTTGAGTAATAAAAAAATATCAAAAATATTTCTTATTAATATGTGTATATCTATAATCGAAAATATGGATGACAAAAGCATAGATAGAAAACTTGGAGAAATGTCAATGATTAACACTTTGCTCTGATTTCGACAACCTTGAAATTAAAAATAGAATTTTTCGAATAGGCGTACGATTAGTTTTCGAATGACCAATTGTTCTTTTTCTCTTTTACGAGGCAATATATTTCCAATTTTGAATTTTAAAAACTACCCCTTCATTTAAATTACGATATCATCAACACGAAAAGTCAGATCGACTAAAAACCATTTTACTCGTTGTTAGACTGTTTTAAGTCAGTGGAGGAAAAATATAGACTATACATTCTTCTCAAAAAAACAAACAATAAGAATATAAGTGACTACTGAAAAATGCATTGTATGTACAAGTAAGAAAAACAAGTTTCTTTCCATTTATAGTAAATCACAATTATATTACACGAATACGAGTGTGTATTAATAACTGTATTCTAGAGCAGGGAAAATCTTCCTATCTGAACGGTGTGTGGTGTTTGCAGAAAACCGATTTCTCCCCGTTCCTCCGTCTTTGTCTTTAATAATTTTATTATTCGCGAATTTGCCGGTAAGCAGCGAATTTCTCGTAAATGATGGTACAGGTCTGGTAAGGGAGAGAAAATACATAATTCGTGATAATATTATAGGGATAGCGCAGACATCGGGTGCACGACACACAAGTAATTAGGACACTGGTAATTTACGCGTATCACGGCGTTATTGAGCGCGAGTTCGGATCGTATATACGTGGCGCGAAATCAAAGCAATTAAAAACGATTCCTCCGTTGGAAGATTGCGACGATTCGATCGAATCGTCAACGCGTTTTCCACGGTGTGCCCGAAATTAAACGGCGTTGTATCGATTCCTATGCGGGCGGTCGTAAAACGTGCAAGAATACCACGCTGCCTTTGACGTTTCACCTACACATTTACCTTTCAGAGCCACGAGCCTGCCAAGCTCATATTCTTGATCAGTAACCTGCTCATTCTCGCGTGCATTCCGTGCCGTTTTGCTGGCAACAGACACATGGAGGACGCCATTTTGGTGGTTGCTGTCCCCTGTTCCTGGTTCCTGCTCATGTTCTTCGCCGGGTAAGCGATACCTAATATTATGCACCTTAAATTATTATTACCACGGTACTATTGTTCAGTAAAACAGTATTTGAAAACGTCAGTATATTTATTTATATTTGTTGGCAATTATTTCGATTTTCTTTTCGATATTCTTTTTAACTCTCAGGCTGATCCTTTTATTACACGTTGGCGGTCTTGACAAAAATTATATAAATGTACAAGGTGTTCTACAAGTAAAAATAAGACTAAAGTATTATATAACAAAAGCTTCATAAATGCTTTGTTAAGAAGTTACGACAAAAATATGAAATGTTTTTCTTTTTACTAAAGAAATAAATTTAGTAAAATTTTGTTTAAAGAGAGCAACTGCTAGTTGAGGCACGAAACAATATTTTTAACGTAGAATTATGTGGATAACTTAAACATTTCTTTATCAAGGTTTAGTTGGGTGCTGAAGTATTTCTTCTTCGATGATAATTTTTTGTTATAAAATTTCGAACTATTGTTTAAGTTTATAGAATGCTTGCAAAAGATACAGTTTATTTTATTATAAATTTTTTTTCTTATTTTAATTTCATATTTTTGTTATAATTTCTCGACAAAGCATTTATGGATTTTTTGTTGTATAACATTTTAGGGTTAGTTTAGTTGTAAAACACACTGCTGAAGTGTGTATACACCCTGTATAAATATAACAAATATACTGATATAAATTTCGTTACAGTTTCGTACATAATTACATCAGTTTATAAATAAATATGATGTCATATCACTATCTCAATATACTGGTACATTTATCTATATTTACCAGCAATTTTTCTCGATTGTTTTATTTCACATTATAATTTTCAAAATTGTTTTTTCAAGCAGAGGTAAAGACAAGAATTGTTTTCTTATATTATATAGGATGAGCAAGCAAAAATAAACAATTTATCAGAATTACACGCCTTGACTTAAATAACTTTGGGAATGCCAGCAATGTAGGTCAGTCTTGAGAGGCTATTTAAAATAGACCGTATCACCTCCAAGGTATAATTTAACGGATAATATAATAAATGACATTTTAATACGCAGAAGTGATACACAAATAAACATATAATAAATATATTATAAATAAATTTTTTGTGCATATAAACTGTCTCTGATAATAGAAGAAATTAAATAAATTAAAAACACGTATCATCACTTTTAAGATATAATTTAACAGATAACATAATAAATTACATTTTAACACTCAAAAATAGTAAAAACACAGGCAATGATAGTAACAATAACTGAACCTAAATATATCTATAAAAATATTCTCAAATGTACTTAAACATCGTTAAATATATTTCCATTTCTATGTGATCTCTTTAATTGGAGAGGAAATAAAATAATTTTGAAGGATACATCGAAAAGCAACCCTTTTACTCATATGTAATAAAGTCGTTTAATAATTAACCTTGGAATAGTATAGTTCGACACAGAATTCCTCACTAATTTTCATCATTGATTCATTTCCAATTTCCCCAGAGCGTATCGATTAAATTATTCGTATTATTCCCCCAATTGATTAATAATAATTTCAACTTATCAAAGTGATTTTCTTTCCAACAGTTTATATTTATTTTCGTATGAGTGTAGTACCGCTGGATTAATATTAATATTTATCGAGAAAATTTTGGCCGTAGAAAGGGTACGCATATCGTTTAATTCGATACGAAAAGTAAACAAAGGAAAAGCTAGAATTGTAAGTCAGCGATCGAACGATGCAACAATGTTTTATTTGAGTTCAACGTTTCGTAGAGGACCGCAAATTTCTGGTAATGCTAGGCACATTAACGTTTATCTTAATTAATTATTGCGCGAACATTGTGTGATGGGTACAGAGTTCAATGAGTGTGTGTAATCGTTTCATTAGTCGCGTAGCGTTCGTAAACAGAAATTTATCTATACCTTTGTGCGACGTTTCCATTAATAGAATATGAATTATTAGTAGCATCAGATTCTGCTAATAACACCGGGGTTAACAACAGAATTTAATGGCCGAATGGTAATTAAAATTCCGCGCCTGGCTCGTTAACTCACCACAGAAATATTCATGAAGAATGATAAAAGAATGCATGGTAAGTGTTATGTGACTCAGGCATGCAACATTGATTAAAAATATAATCCAAAACACCTGCTATTTTACTATTTATTTACATTTCAATGAGTGACAAGAAAAATCGTGGTCATTTGTTAACGAATTCTTCCACGCAATAATCTTTTAGAAATCTAGAGAATTGCATTCAGAAAGTGTATTTTTGTAGTGTAGAATAAATTGATGCTATATATTATAAATCGAATATTCCACGAAAATAAAATAATAATACATAATTACATTATGGATGTCTAAGAAAAAAAATATTGCAATTATTAATATTGAGAAGAGTCGCTGTAGGTGCATTATAAATTGAATATTTTAAGGAAACAAAATTTTTAGAGCAAAAAATACTGCAATTATTAATATCAATAAGAGTCACTATATAGAGGTGCACTACAAATCGAATAATTTACTGAAATGAAATTTACATATCTAGTAAGTAGCATACTCGTTTCAATTTGTCATGAATGGAAAATTAACTAAATTATAATAGAACGTGTAAGGAAAAAAAATACTGCAATTATTAATATTAACAAGGGTCACTATAGGTACACTATAAATTGAATATTTTAAGGAAATAAAATTTGCATTTCTATTAAGTAGAATACTCGTTTTAATCTAACATACAACGAAGAATTAACTACATTCTAATCGAAGGTGTCAAGCAAAAAATACTGCAATTATTAATATCAATAAGAGTCATATGTAGGTGCACTATAAATTGAATTTTTAAGGAAACAAAATTGACATATCTATTAAGTAGAATACTCGTTTTAATCTAACATACAACGAAGAATTCACTACATTCAAATGGGGTGTGTAAAGCAAAAAATATTGCAATTATTACTATCAATAAGAGTCACTATATAGAGGTGCACTACAAATCGAATATTTTACTGAAATGAAATTTACATATCTAGTAAGTAGCATACTCGTTTCAATTTGTCATGAATGGAAAATTAACTAAATTATAATAGAACGTGTAAGGAAAAAAAATACTGCAATTATTAATATTAACAAGGGTCACTATAGGTACACTATAAATTGAATATTTTAAGGAAATAAAATTTGCATTTCTATTAAGTAGAATACTCGTTTTAATCTAACATACAACGAAGAATTAACTACATTCCAATCGAAGGTGTCAAGCAAAAAATACTGCAATTATTAATATCAATAAGAGTCATATGTAGGTGCACTATAAATTGAATTTTTAAGGAAACAAAATTGACATATCTATTAAGTAGAATACTCGTTTTAATCTAACATACTACGAAGAATTAACTACATTGAAATTGTGTATATAAAGCAAAAAATACTGCATCAATGAGAGTCACTATAATCGAGATTCGACTCCTGTTCGAAAATAGTAATTTACTATTTAATTATATAATCATAATTTATAATCGCGATTCTCAAAAGCATTGCAGTCACCGAAACAATTCAGATCGTCCCAAAGCGTACGATTGTTTATGTTAACGCAAAACGGCGCAAAAATGTTGGTAAGCCGTAATTTTTACGGGAAGCGTTTCGGGGGCGGTTTGGTGAACGGAACAACCAGAAGAAAGACATTTATAATCGGGGCGGAAGGCAGTGCTTCCAGATTTCAAACCTCTTTTTAGGTGATTTACGGCGAGATAATGCCCGGCTATTTCGCATTACCATATACGCCTCTCTTGGCAATCGTTTTTCTCGTCGCCGCGTCCTTTTCGCGGGGCACTTTCCTGCAGGTATTGCCGCAGAACTTTTCAGCTCCTCTCTTCCGCGTTTCTGTCCCCGGCGACGACTTCTTTTTCCGCCGGTGCCCGCGATTTCATGGTAACGCGACGAACCGCTCTTTGACTCGTACGGCTTTAACGTCCCTTTGACGAACATCTCCGCCTTCGGTCGAGGACGTACTCGGAAAGGACACAGCACGACGCCCGGCTCCTCTGATTTTTTTCGTTCAGCTTACAAGAAACCCAACCTCCCCAATTTCTCTCTTTTTTTTTTCATTTTACGGCCACTCTTCAGCGACCGAAAACTACCATGGTATTTCCTCCAAGACCTCTAAACTCTCTGACGGTCTCGCGCGAATCCATCAGCGCTGGCACAGAATTATACGACACATTATACGGTTTTTCTTATAACGTTTCAAATCGTAAAAATACAGACATCTAATTGCTATCTACTTTAACGAACATTGGAACTGGTTATCAAAGAAAAATTCAAATAATGCTACATGTATATATTTACATTTTATTTATTATATATTTTTATGGTATACAGATTATTTAGAGACGAAGCTGGTTACGAATTTATTTCACGAATTTTTATTTGAGAATTCGAAGAAACTCTAAAAAATAAGTAGAAATAGCGAATAATGGTCAGACGTAAAGACGTGTCAGATGTAAACTATGAAAATAGTGACAAAGTTTAGTGAATAGATACGAGAAATAGTTATCAACTAATTAATGAAAAGAATACTGCCATTGAGAAATCGTAGAAATTCTCGAAAATAAGTAGAAATGACAAATAATGATCGGACTCGTTAGACCTGCAGTAGTAAATCGTATGCATAATCCGACAAAATTACAAATTTAATTATCTCGAGAACGAAGCAATTTATTTCTACGTTTCTAACTTATTCTTTCGCGTAAAATTACCCTCCTTCCGGTTGCACAACAAATTACAAACACAAAACCGCCACATAAATATTGGGCCACCTGATGATACAAAAACAGTTGTCTAAATATTTTGGCGCGTTTAAAATAATTTTTACGAAATTCCGTGGATAAATTAAATCTCAATCTTCTCTTAACAGATTTTCTGTTCGAGAAACACGCTGAAAACGTCGAATAATTCCTCGAAAATACCACTAAAGACTCATTTCATGTTGCATCATTTCATT